GCGATTGTACACAAACTCTAGCGGTGAAAGACGAGGCCTACCTTGTTGGCAGCGGCATGAGCTGCGACCACGCCGCCGCCTCAGCGCTCGCCCAGGTGGATGCGGTGGAAGTCGGCTTGGACGGGGCATCGGCGGCCGGAGGACACGTCGTGGGCTCCTCTTGCTGGCGATGCACACGAGGGGACAAACAAACCGAAGGAGCCGGGTTGAGGTCCGCGGGCGCAGACCACGCGTTTCGCGAAAGAATGCTTTTGGGCGTAGCAGTGTGAGACTGCACGGGGCACTGCGGCCTCTCCGCGAGCGCACGGGCGCGACGTGGGCGATAGCTAGGGACAACCGAAACATCGGTGCCGACCAAACAGGCTCGAAGTAGAAGACGTTTGAATGTCGAGCGAGGCCCACAGATCTGCAGGGCGATCCCGCACTGTGTTCACGCGTGCCCTCTCCCTCCCGGTCTCAGCGGAGTGCGACAAGGACGGAGAGAACAAAACAAAACACCGTACGCAACCACCCTCCCTGGCGCAGACGACGGTCAGGCAGCCCGGTTATATCGCTCACCATACATCGCATCCGCGCCAGGCGAGCCGGGGCAGCACCAGGCACACAAACGACTTCTACCTCCAGTCAAAAGGGTCAAAATAAGAGCTGCCGCGGCGGGGCGAGCCGGCGCCTGTAGAACAGCGGGGGCCGCATGACTAGGCGATCGCTTCACTCCCGTTCAACAAGGACTGAAACGCCTTATTTGCCTCACTTGTTCGTCCCAGAACTGGAGATTAACCAGGAAACCTGCGGTGAAAAAGTGAGCAAAAGAACATACGGGAAAGTCGGAATCAAAACCCGAGGGGCGCACAGGCCACGGCGGGGCGGGCAGCCGAGTGGAACGGCTACAGGTGACACAAGTACGGGTGCAAAAACAGTCAAATCAGCCACATGGGGCCGCATGACTTCGCGATCACTTTCACTTCCGTTCAACACCGGTTGTTGAAACGCCCTTCTGACGTCACTTGTTCATCCCAGCGCCAGAGATGGACCAGCAAATCTGAGGTGAAAAAGTGACCAAAGGCAACACACGAAAGTCGGAATCAAAACACGGCGCAAGGGAATCGCGGGGCGGGGGCCACGAGGGGGCGGACTTGACGTCGAGCTGATGTGATGTGATGCGATGCGATGTAACGGAGCGGCACGGTAGACACGAGCAAGCTAAACGCGGCGCGACCCGCACTTCGACCAGACGGACTTGACAAACAGCGTACAGGACGAACGGATCGCGAGGTCTTGATCTTGAACTCTTCTGGGGCCGGCCCGGCCGGCTCCCACGAGCCAGG